GCGCGGACCGTGCGGAATCGACCGCGGGCGCACTGGGTGCCTGCAACTCCCTGAACCTGCAACTATCTGATATTTCTAGCCTAAGACCTCCCGGGACCTACTCAAAATACACCCGAGCCCTCGGGGCTCCAAACCGAACATACATATAAACTCAAAAACATCCTACGGACTCATCCGTGCGATCAAATCGCCCAAACAACATCATAATCATCAAATTAGGCTTCAAGACCCAGGATTTCCTTCCAATTTTCATAAAACATCAAGTTTAGAGTTTTTAGCCCAAAACACGTCAAACGACGTCCAAATTCAACCAAACTTTACAGAAAGTACTTAAGCCATATATAAGACTTGTACCGGGCATCGGAACCAAAATACGAGCCCGATACCACAGTCTTTTAATCAAATTTCATTTCCAATTTCCTTAATTATTTTCAGAAAAAAATTTCACACAAAAAATCATTTCTCGGGCTTGGGACCTCGGAATTTGATTCCGGGCATACACCCAAGTCCCATATTTTCCTACGGATCCTCCGGGACTGTCAAATCACAGGTCTGGGTCCGTTTGCCCAAAACGTTGACCGAAGTCAAACTTAATCAATTAAATACCAATATTTAACATTTTTCTCACAAATTCTATATTTAAACTTTCCGGCTACGCGCCCGGACTGCGCACACAAATCGAGGCAACCCCAAATGAGGTTTCCAGGGCCTCAGAAGTACAGGGTGAGTAAGGAAACAAGTGATGACCCTTTGGGTCGTTACAGGTTTCTAGAAGAACAATCACAGAGATGAAGAAGCAAACCTAGAAACCCATAGATATAGAAATATCTCACTCGGAATCAAATCAGGACAACCTGAAACAGGCGAGAAATGGCCATAGATGTAAGCAAACTAACCCTGGTCCCTTGAGGACTCTGGAGATGATGATACCAGTACAAAAGAGGTTACTAGAGGCCTAGGGGTTGGTGAGAAGCCACCATAGATAGCCATTGATGAGTGACGGCGAGGTCCGATTAGGGTTAGGTTTGAGAGCTTTTGAGAGAGGAGAGGGATTTCAGGGCGGCGGTTGGTGAGGAAATGAGAGGGTTTGGGGGGGTCGTTTGGTTTATTTTAGGTAAGGGTCAATCTGGACCGTTGATCACAATGATCAACGGCCAGGATTTGCCCGAGTATTAGGTTGGGGCAGATGGGTATTGGGCTGGGTATATTTTGGGCTTAAAATTGGGCTGGGTGTTGGGTTAAATTAAGGCCAAAATTGAAATAAAATAGGGACAGATTTTAAATAGCCATTTTTAATAACTAAATAATTTATAAAAAAATAATAAATGAATTCCAAAAATATCTTTGTGTACTAAAATGATTTAAAATAGTTATTTAACATTTTAAAAATATGGAAGACCATTTTATGCATAAATAATATAATTATACATTAGTATAGGCTATTATTGCAAAGATGTGCAATTTAGCCTAAAAATGTAAATATAACTACAAAAAATGCACTAAAAATATTTAAATACTATTTTGGCATAAATAATAAATTTACATGGCTAAATCATCACAAAAGTAATTTAAAGGATAATTATTGGATATTGATATAAATAAAAAAGAGAAGAAATAAATTGATTTGGAGCTTTTAAAATTATAGAAAAATTATAAAAAAAAATGTTTATGCATGCTTATAACTGCATATGTGCTATTTTGAAAGTATATATATGTATTAAAAATATATGAGAAAAAATTGGATATCAACAACTGCCCGTCTTTACCCGGGAAGGATGAAAGAGTTTTCGGGTAAAGAAATGATGGCCAATTTTGACCGAATGGGATGTTTTGAAAGATAGAGGCCGGACTCCGGTCTTGAGTTTCCTACATATTCCTTATTTTACAGGAATCAGGCCATGTGTAGTTCTAGATTCATTGGCGGAATATACCGATGAACACTACAAGAAATTGGATTATTAGCAGCGACCTATAGCAACGACCCTATAGGTTGCTACAACAGCTATATTATTAGCAGCGACATCTAAAGTCGCTGTAGAAGGTTATTTTTAAGCAGTGACTTATTTTGGGTCGCCTCTAATATGGCTGAAATTTTCAGTCCCGCTAAAAATAAAATTTTGGCTCCATAATATTTGTGGCGACTATGGAAAAGTCGCCGCTAAAAGTATCTGGCAGTGATATAACCTAGATTTTTACATTTAAAATAATAAAGAAAATAAAATTGAATAAGCTAATTAAAACTTGTTTGTGGAACAGAACCCACAAAGCTTCGAGTGAAACAACAGAAGAGCAAAACTCTCTCGAGAATATCGGCTGCTCTCTCTCTCTCTAAAAATTAACTCAGGTCTTCATCTAAAATTTCATCCAAATCAAAACCCCACAAATCAAAATGTGAATCTCATTTGTCAGGTATGTTCAAATCCCTAATCTTTTCATTTTTTTGGGGAAAGAAGTTGATAATCGATCGATTTCATGTTGTGGAGGAAGAATCAGTAGAAAATGCTACTTTGTTCTTCACGATCACCTTCTCAAGAGCTTTAAATCAGACCCTGTTTTAAACAACGAGACTGATAACATTTTCTCTCTCTCTCTCTCACTATGTGTTGTCTTGTTGCCATATATAGTGCTAATTCTTGATAAACTATTTGGGTAAATTTCTGGGTTCTTGTTTTTTGTTAAATTTTAGCATTGACAAGAATGGCTTAAGTTTAATTGATATCAAGTTCTTGCCAACTGATTTGCCTTTGTGCTATGTTATTTTTTTGTGCTGATACTAACCATCAGAGGCAAGTAACGCTGCACCTAATTCTTTGTGACAATGTGTTCGGAATTAATATCCACCCACACAAACATTTATTTATATGCATGTCGGAGCGGATCGTGGGTTGTGGATTTTAGCCCTTTTGAGTTACTACGTTCTAACTTAATAATTTGTATATTAGGAAATAAATTTTTAAAGAAAAATAACAGTCCAAAGCTACTGGGTTCTATCGAATCATACCTTCTAACTCTACATCTGCCCCTACATTTAACAGATGGAGTTTTGAGGTCTCAATTTTCTAGACTTGAAGTTGTAGTTTAACAGCGTCGTTTGAACACCTTGTATGTTTGTTTAACAGTGTTCTGGCCTACTTCACCGATTAGGCATATATTGGAAGCTTTAGTTAGGATGAAACCTGCATCTTCTGCTTGCTTATGTAAGATACTAGCTAGAAAGAGCTTCAGCTAGTAATGGAGAGCAAGTGGCTAAGCAGTTCAAATGCATCTTGCACAAATGATTTCATTGGCTATTCCTTGTAAAAAAGCAATTTTTCCATTCGAATTCAAGTCAATTCTTCAAGTTTATTTGGACTTTCTTGTTGAATTATCCAACAAAATGACAGAATAGGGATTGTTTCCCTCCTTGGTCTTTCTTGAGCTTTCTGACAAAAGTTTCAACTTTCAACATGCAGTTAGGTATAATTATTTTTTCAGCAATTTCACTTTTGTATTCTCAGATTTTATCTCGAATTTCTCTAAGCCATTTGATAATCTACAGGAATACCAAAAAATTCACACAGAAAGAATCATTTGTAGCGTATTTGGTGTTGTTATTGTCGATTCTCGGTCTTGACAGAATCTCAGCTATCTCTTTTCCTAGGTAAGTTAAAATCTTCTTCTTGAGAGGCGTTTTACATGTCGGCATTCAATTCAGTTTCCTTGCCATAGTTCTGTTGTTATTGCATTTGATATGAAGTTTAAAAAGAATTGCAAAGGAGCAGTTTATTAAATGTCTTTCTTGAATACTTAAAGCTTCTTATTTCGTAGTATCTATTATATTTCGTAGTATCTGTTATATATAGTCTCATTCTATTTATCAAAAAGGTGTTTATATTATGTGGTAGTGTATAAATTCTTTTTATGAAACTATTGTTTTCTTGTTAATCAAAAGGTGTGTGAGAAGAAAAAATTGCTACAATAATTCTATTTTATTTATAAGTGATTTGATTTGTTCATCTTTCTTTGGTATGCTAATTATTATAGATATTTTGATTATTATCATCCTTTCACTTTTAATTTGGTAATCATTTATTTATTTTTTAAAATAGATATGATGGATAAAAGTTGGTTGAATATAAAGAATAGAGTCGACCAAAGGTATAGAGATGGAGTAGACAACTTTCTTAATTGGGCATTCAGTCAACCAACTGTGAACACTATGATTCGGTGTCCTTGTAAAGGGTGTATGAATACCGCGTTCAAGATAAGGGTTGGTGTAAGAGGAGATTTATTGAGGAAGCGTTTCTGGGATTCTTATAAAGTGTGGGACTTGCATGGAGAAGTGTTAGTTAGAGTTGACACTTCTAATACTGCAGTTAGTGATGAAGCAGAAGATGATAGCATTGAAGAGGATAATATTACTGAAATGATTCACGATGCTTGTGGATATACGAATATGGAGGATAATAATAATAATTCAGAGGACAATGAAGAGCCAAATGTACATGCAACAAAGTTCTACAAATTGTTAGAAGATGCTGAGACAGAACTTTATCCTGGTTGTAAAAAAGTCTCGAAGTTGTCTTTTGTTGTTAAACTACTTCACTTGAAGTGTCTTAACCATTGGAGCAACAAATCGATGGATGCATTATTGAGCTTCTTTAAAGAAGTTCTTCCTGAGGGGTCATTTGTGCCTAATTCTTTCTATGAAGCAAAGAAAGTTCTTTGTGACCTCGGCTTGGGGTACACCAAAATAGATGCATGTCGGAATGATTGCATTTTATATTGGCGTGATTATGCCGATGTCCAAGCATGTCCTAAGTGTGGTAAGTCTAGATGGAAGTCCGAAGAACACGGAGGCAAGAAAGTAGCTCATAAAATCTTGCGGCATTTTCCAATCAAACCAAGGCTTCAAAGATTGTACATGGCAAGAGAAACAGCTAAAAAGATGAGGTGGCACAAGGAGGGAAATGTTGATGATGGTGTCTTGCGACATCCATCTGACTCAATAACATGGAAATCCTTTGATGCACGACATCCCACCTTTTCAGCTGAGTTAAGAAATGTTCGATTAGGTTTGGCGAGTGACGGGTTCCAACCTTATGGGAACATGAGTTCTAATCATAGTATTTGGCCAGTCGTACTAGCTACGTATAACTTGCCACCATGGGATTGCATGAAAAATCCATATTTCATGATGACACTTCTTATTCCAGGCCCCAAGTGTCCAGGCAATGATATCAATGTATATTTACAACCAATGGTTGAAGAGTTGAAAGAATTATGGGACGGGGTGGAGACTTATGATGCACACTCAAAATCTAATTTTCTGATGCGTGTGGCTATCATGTGGACGACCAATGACTTTCCTGCATATGTGAATCTTTCAGGATGGTCAACCAAAGGCAAGCTTGCATGTCCTTGTTGTCATAAAGATACATAATCGACTTCCTTGCGTAGTAAGTTGTGTTATATGGGTCATCGTCGCTTCCTTCCCATGGACCATCCATGGCGAAGAAGTAGGACGTTATTTGATGGGAAAGTTGAAATGGGAGTTGCACCTAACCCTTTAACCGGTGATGAAGTACTTGCGCAATTACAAGCTTTGGGTAATGTGGCTTTTGGTAAAGGACAAAAGAGAAAGCGTGATGTTCATAAAAATGGTTACAACTGGAAGAAGAAAAGTATCTTTTTCCAATTGCCTTATTGGAAGAGTCTTATGTTACGACATAACCTTGATGTGATGCATCGAAAGAAATGTGTCTGACAATATTATATCAACTGCCATGAATATGGTTGAAAAGACAAAAGACACATTGAAAAGTAGATATGACTTGATGGACCTTGGAATCAGACAAAGGTTGCATCCAATTGAGGATGGGAATAATATTTTGTTACCGGCAGCGTGCTATGCATTGTCCCCGGAAGAGAAGCTGAAGGCATGCAGTTTCTTAGCTAATCTGAAGGTTCCTGATGCCTTTTTCCTCAAACATTTCAAGGTGTGTCAATGTACAAGAAAAGAAGATACATGGATTGAAATGTCATGGTCATCATGTATTGTTGCAAGATATTTTTCCAGTAGCTATACGTGGTTTGCTACCCAAGGAAGTGTGTGATCCAATTATAGCCTTAGGAAAATTTTTCAAGAATATATACTCTAAGTGCTTGACGATTGAAGATCTTGATATCCTAGAGGCAGAAATTCCTATTATTTTGAGCAAACTTCACCTTGTTTTCCCTCCGACGTTCTTTGATGTCATGGTTCATTTGCCAATTCACTTGCCAAGTGAGGCAAAGCTTGGTGGACATATATTATATTAATGGGTTTAATATAATATGTATCCTATAGAGAGGTAATTTATTGTTTAATAATCTCGATACTATAGTTTTAGAATGACATATATTATATTAATGGGTTACTTTATATAGGTATTTGCGAACACTTAAGTCATATGTTCGCAACAAAAATCGCCCAGAAGGTTCAATTGCAGAAGGTTATTTGGCAGAGGAAAGCCTCACATTTTGCTCGCGATACTTGAAGGATATCTCAACCAAGTTTAATAAACCAACTAGGAATGACGATGGATCTGTGTCAAATAATGTGATGTTTATCTTCAAAAAAAGTGGTCAAACAAAAGGTGCTTCAGACGGCCAGCAGCAACAGAGAGAAAGAGACGACCAGGGTTCCAAGTCTTGTACACTTCCAACTTAACATACGACCAGCAGCAACAGGTATGTGATTTCTATTTCTTCTTCCTCCTCCTCCTCCTCCTCCTCCTCCTCTTTCTTCTTCTTCTTCTTCTTTCTCAGTCTTCTCCTCTTCATTGAAGTGCTGGCAATTTTTTTTTCCCTTTGATTCTTCTTTCTCAGTCTTCTCCTCTTCATTGAAATGCTGCCAAGTTCTTCTTTCACTGTTTTTATGCTGTCCAGTTTTTAACAGAATGGTATACTCCCCTTCCTCTTAACGGATTCTTCTTCTTCCCTTCCAAATGGCAGCGAAGTGCTGGCAAATTTTTTTTCCCTTTGATTCTTCTTTCTCAGTCTTCTCCTCTTCATTGAAATGCTGCCAAGTTCTTCTTTCACTGTTTTTATGCTGTCCAGTTTTTAACAGAATGGTATACTCCCCTTCCTCTTAACGGAATTTATTTTAATATTTTTTTTATAAATTTGGCTTCACTTAAATAAATCAAGAGCTTCGCTTCTTGCTTTAAGCAAAATGGGGGTGGTCGTTTTTCCTCGCTTCACGCTCTTCACAACACTGTGTGAAGGATTGAATGTGCTAATCAAATATATGCAGAATTATGTTGGCTTCTTTCTTAGTTTGAGATGATGTTAAAATATTACTCCTCCTATATTGGTGATTGACTATTCAAATGCAGTCTCTATTAAAATCAAGTATTTGAGAAATCTCCTTGGTGTATAGTAAATATTCTTCAGACATTCACCTGCACGTTGTTCTTTTGAAATCAAGTATCTGTAATTTGAGTTGAATTTGTTATGTTGAATGGTTTTTTCTTAAAACATTATTCTGATAGCAGTTTCATCAAAATCAAGCCTAGAATTTTGAGAAGCTGGGCTGCCTGTTGTTATCCCACATTTTCCAGAATTTTTGTTGTTTATTTATGTGATTAGGATATCGAATATAATATTACATTTAGTGTCAGGATAAATTTGAAGTTTACAACGGGCTGCAAGAGCATAGGTTTCAAGCCTTTGTAATTAGCACTATGCAAAGGCTTTTTAGAGCATGGAAAGCTCGACTCAGCTGGTTGTACTCTAAGTACAATACTAATGAAGAAAGATTGTCTCATCGACCTGAAGATGTTGAGCTTGAGGACTGGAAATACCTAATATAATATTTTGGAAGTCAGGATTTTAAGGTACTAACTTAATACCTGAAGATTCTGCCAACCAAAGGGCACCATTCACATCTTTGAAAGGTGATCTATTAATCTGTTTACTTACATGTTGTAAGTGAGAGGAACAAAAGAAATAGAGAAAAGCAAGTAACTAAGCATACTTGTGGTACAAAGTCTTTTGCAGAAATAGAGGAATCTACGATAAAAATATATTTAGTCCCCTACTATCACATATGCTTCTTTGTTATTTACATATTTATATATTTGCTTATATATTTTTTGTCCGAAATTATATTGCAGTGAAATCCTATTACTGGAGAAATAGACACACCAGATAAAGTTTGGGAGATCCAACATACACGCAAGGATGATAAAGGAGAATTGGTGTGGGTGGATCCACAATCCCAACAAATTCATGTAATTATCTAAAATCATAGACTTATTATCTTTCTATAAGTTACATTCAGTGTGTTTTATAATATTTTGATGTAAATGATTATGCATAAATCTAGGGTCAACTCCAAGAAGTTGTCACTCAGCAACAATCTGAAGAGATCGAGCATCCTATGACTAGAGATGAGACTTTATCCACCGTTCTTGGTGAGAAAACAGGTTATGTTCGCGGAAAAGGATACGGAAAGAAGCCTCCTAAAAAGAGTAACATACAGCAGGCAAGCATCGAGTCCAGCGTGTCTTCCACTATGGAAATTATGCGTCAAAAGATGTAAGCCGAGATGGATAGAAAGTTGCAAGAAGAACGTGAACAAATGGCTGCTCAGTTGCAAAGAAATATGGAACTTGAGTTGCAAAGGAAGTTGGCAGAGGAGCATGAACACTCAAGTGTAGAAGTAGACAAGAGGATCCATCTAAAAGTGGACAAGAGGATGCATGAACAATTTGCTAGTTTGATGACCAGAATGCTACAACAGGTACTTCCTCCGCTGCTTCTTAACAATTTTTCTTCCTTCTCGACATTTCTTCTTCCTTCATTCGGGACAATTCATCTGTCACTTTCTTCCTATCTTGTTGTCAACTTCTCCTTCTTTAACTTTCATCCTCTTGATAATAGACTATTGGGCTGTTTTTTGTTTATGTGAAATCCAGATTTTTGCAAACCTTGTGCTTCAGGGGCTTAGTTGATAATAGACTATTGGGCTGTTTTTAGTTTTTTAAGAAATCTGAATTTTGCAAACCTTAGTTTATGTGAAATATGTACCATAGCTGCTTCAGGGGCTGCTGCTGCGATTTCTTTTCAAACCTTAGTTGTGTGGGCTGCTGCTGCTGCTGTTTAGTTAGTACTTGTGTGATTTCTCCTGGTGTTGATTCATGACTAAGAGGCCAGTAGAAGGATGTAAATGGAATTGAGGGAGTGGACAAGATGCCAATGAAGCATAAGTTTGTCCTGAATATGAAACAAATAACTCTTTTTAGATAAAAAGAAGCAGAGGAATAAACTTAGATAGTCCCTTAAGTATTGGCATCATTGAAATTTTCCAAATTCACTGTTATTCCTCAATTGACTGGTTAGATGATGGCTGGTGAATGGTAATAAAATTGCATTCTCTTTTTGTGTGATAAAATGTGTTGTCCAAAAATAATTTCTTATTGTTACAAAGGAACTAAAAAACTATTAGTACTACCTAAATGGTTGTTTTTTTAGAAAAAATGAATGAAGAACAATGAAGAAGCAGTTAGCTTTCCCTCATATTGATCCTAATTCATGCTATGCTGTGTGTGCCGAAAACTAACGAGCATCTTGTTACATTCTCTTTACTCATTTTCCTTCTCATGGCTACAACTAGTGCAAAGAAGAAAAGGTCCTCATTTATTTCCTATGACATTCTTTTAGTATTTAGTTTAACAGTTGCCATTGACAATAAAACTAACGGTGTCAAGAAGTAGACTAAAGCTATCCACTTTTATAAACATAAACGATATTTTATATCCAGTTGTATAAAAAAGGGACAAAGATAGTTGTATACCCATACTTGAGGGACTATCTAAGTTTATTCTTCAAAAGAAGCACAATATCTTTAAACTTAGTAGACCCCCTTTAAACTAAATCAAAAGGAACATAATCTTTTGACAAGAAGTCCCTTAATTAAATTCTAGCTGATGACTTAGACTAATGCAAGAGCTAGGCATGAAAAAATTCAGGTGTTCATTCTTAATGTAGCATAACTGGAAAAAGTAGGATTCTTTTTTGTTTAAGTATCACTTCTTTTACATACTAGCTGAGGACCAGAATGGTGATAAAATGTAACCATCATGGATTCAGTAAAGGATATTTTGTGAAAGGATTAACGACTTGCAAAAGAAGGATTCAAGTTATAATTACATCATCTTGATCAACTGGTAGTAGAAAACTCGATCGGAAGGTTAGGTTTACTTACAGTTGTCCACATAGCAACCTTAAAGCTATTAAACCTTTGGGCAAACCTAGAGTAAACTGGGAATCAGCTGAGACCCTTTTGTTATCCTTGAAGTTTTTCTATGCATGTTTTTTGATATAAAAATATCATTATATATATATATATATATATATATATATATATATGCATAACAATTCTGGTGTACAGTACACTACAAATATATGTAGTATATAATATGTATAATACCATTATATAATATCTATTTTACATGCATAACAANTATATATATATATATATATATATATATATATATATATATATATATATATATATATATATATATATTGTTTTTTTAGCAGGGACAAGGCACTTAAACAATAGTATCGTTCAAGGATGGTGTCGACCAAGGAGCAATTACAAGGCACTTAATATTTTATCTTTTTTGAGATATGTATATGCGTACAATTATATTACAATGCATAATGAAGTGTAGTTTTGTATTATGAATTGACCTTTTTAGTAATGAAAATATTTATAATATTCAGTTTGAGAAATTCTTTTGGTATTTTAAAATATTATTGGTTGCTTTTAATATTGGTATTCAATTTATGTGAATATACAATCATTAAATTTAGAGAATTCGGTTCCTACCAGAAATATATATAATTTCGTCATTATATAGTTTTTGAGAAGATAAGTTTTAGTGGCGACATTATTTTATCACAAAATATTATGTTAAATTTGCCAATCTTCCTTTTGCGGCGACTTTAGTCGCTACAGAAAGATATTGAGTCTTTCATGGTTTATTATATTGTAGCGACACAGGTCGCTACTAGTAGTTATTTACAGTGGCGGACCTTAACTTGCTACTAAAAATAGTTTTGGCAGCGATAGTAGTCGCCACTAAAGATGAATAGCAGTGGCGACCAAGCTAATTTTCTATTCTTGTGGAGCCATTTTTTGTAGCGAGGTTTCTCACCTTTTGTGGCAACTGTGACGCCGCAAAATGTAGGATTTTAGCAGCGACTTTTCTTGTCGCCACAAATACCTTTCAGGCACGCTTTTGCTTGTAGCAACACAAATGTTGCCACTGATAACATTTAGCTGCGAGTTTCACTGATTTTGTAGCGACTTTAGTCACCGCAATAAGGCTAATTTCTTGTAGTGGAAGTCATTGCAAGAACGGACACGAAATGCAAGAGCGGTTATGGTGAACGGTTAAGTTTGAGCTAGTTTGAAGGAACTAGAGCGAGGTTGCTCCTGCTAGAATAGCGGTTGCTTGCTGATCATCTGCAGACAAAGAGATGCTACGAACCCGTATTTGTGCGAAAATTTAAACATGATGCAGGTTCCCTTTGGACCATGAAAGTTGTCTTTGGACGGTTAAGGATGACGTCCTCGGACCATGATGTCCTGGGCCATGAATTGTTTAGTGAGGAATTTGCAGGCCATGAAATGGTGCTCTCGGGCCATGCAGATGGTGCCTCCGAACCATGACGCCTTTGAATAATGATATGCAAATTGAAAGATCCTCAGGCCATGGCATGGTGTCTTCCGGCTATAAGGATGATGCCTTTAGACTATGACGCCTTTGGACAGATTGGTGATATTTCAGACCATAAGATGCAACAATAAGATGTTGACAAGACAAGGCTTAGTCTTGCGAGATGAAGGGCAGAGCTTAGCCCGATAAAAGAGCAAACAAACAGTACCGGAGTAGAGCAACATTTATGCAAGGAGGGACAATGTTCAGCCCCATACAAATGGGGAGGCAGGGATTAGCCTCATGCAGATGGGGAGGCAATGATTAGCCTCATGCAAACAGGGAGGCAAGGATTAGCCTCATGCAATTAGGGAGTCAAGGATTAGCCTCATGCAAGTATGGAGGCAAGGATTAGCCTCGTGCAAATGTGGAGGCGAGGATTAGCCTCATGCAATTAGGGAGGCAAGGATTAGCCTCATGCAAGTGGGGAGGCAGGGATTAGCCTCATGCAATTAGGGAGGCAAGGATTAGCCTCATGCAAGTGGGGAGGCAAGGATTAGCCTCATGCAAGTGGGGAGGCAGGGATTAGCCTCATGCAAATGGGGAGGCAAGGATTAGCCTCATGCAGGTAGGGAGGCAGGGATTAGCCTCATGCAAGTGGGGAGGCAAGGATTAGCCTCATGCAAGTGGGGAGGCGAGGATTAGCCTCATGCAATTAGGGAGGCAAGGATTAGCCTCATGCAAGTGGGGAGCCAGGGATTAGCCTCATGCAGTTAGGGAGGCAGGGATTAGCCTCATGCGGACGGGGAGGCAAGGATTAGCCTCATGCAGGTAGGGAGGCAAGGATTAGCCTCATGCAGATAGAGAGTAGCAAATAAGAGTAGCATATGTCTTAGCTGGAGATACATTCGGTGTCTGGGGACTGATTGATAGTGATACATGTATATATTTGCGGGCGCTATTGCTACGTCAGATGTACCTGCGTTCAAAGAAAAATTGTAAGTTTTGTGGGGGGGAGGTTGGTTCGTGCTTCTATCCGCTGGCCTTGCTTTGCTCCGTTCTGGAGGACTTTTGAGTTTCTTGGGTAACCTGACTGTTACGGAAATAGAGTTTTCGAAAATATGCAATTACCGATAAAAAAATAGAGTTATCTAGAAACATGTCGAAATATCTAGTAATTTAGATGAACTAGTGACTGTAACACATTTCAGAGACACTGCAATTTTCTTATGTTAGAATTTTGAGGGTCCTCCTCAAAATTCTGCCCTAGTTTGGTAGATGATATCCTTCGGCCGCTTGCGAGTAACGAGTCTTGTTGAACCTCCTTCGTAATTTTGAGAATTCTTCTCAAAATTCTGCCCAGTTTCTTAATCGATTTCTGACTGTCTGACATATGTTGGTGTTGGCTGGACTTGCTCCGGAATTTTGAGGGTCCTCCTCAAAATTCTGCCCCAATTTCTGATCTTGGGGTGAAATGGAAATTTTATTATGATATGACCGAACCCATAAGGCTACCTACGTATCCCCACTTAAACGGGAATCAGGTCAAGCGTAGTTCGATTACATCAGATGAAGAAATGTAAATAGTCTAAGCATAGTATCTTTTGACTGAGTCTGAATTGATCGGTTTTGGCCAGATCTCTCCGTCCATTTCTGCAAGTATAAGTGCTCCTCCTGTTAGCACCCTGTGAACCATGTAAGGACCTTGCCAGTTGGGAGAGAATTTCTCTTTGGCTTCATCTTGATGTGGGATAATCTTCTTCAGCACCAACTGTCATGATGCAAATTGTCTTGGTTTGACCCTTTTGTTGAAAGGTCTAGACATTCTGTTCTGATAAAGCTGACCGTGGCATACTGCATTCATCCTTTTCCCGTCTATAAGGGCCAATTGTTCGTAGCGGCTCCTTATCCATTCTGCATCGCCGAGTTCGGCTTCCTGTATAATCCATAAAGAAGGAATCTCTACCTCGGCTGGGATGACAGCCTCGGTGCCATAAACCATCATGTAAGGAGTTGCTCCGGTTGATGTGCGAACTGTAGTGCGGTATCCCAACAGAGCCAAAGGTAGCTTCTCGTGCCATTGTTTGTGGTTTTCTACCATCTTCCTTAGTATCTTTTTGATGTTTTTGTTGGCGGCTTCCACGACTCCATTCATCTGAGGTCTATAGGCTGTGGAGTTCTTATGCTTGATTTTGAAAGTTTTGCACATGTTTTTCATCAAATCACTATTGAGGTTGGAGGCATTATCAGTGATAATGGACTCGAGAACTCTGAATCGGCAAACAATACGGTCCTTGACAAAGTCTGCGACGACTTTCTTGGTTCCAGCTTTGTAAGATACAGCCTCTACCCATTTTGTGAAGTAATCGATGGCCACCAGAATAAACCTGTGTCCGTTTGAAGCAGTGGCTCAATCGGACCGATGACATCCATTCCCCAGGCGGCGAATGGCCAAGGCGAGCTTGTTGCGTTGAGCTCATTTGGCGGCACTTTTATCATATCAGCATGCACTTGACATTGGTAGCATTTGCGGACATACTGGACGCAGTCGGTCTCCATGGTCATACAAAAGTAACCGGCCCTGAGTATCTTCTTGGCCAAGACAAAACCATTCATATGCGGGCCGCAGGTCCCAGCATGTATCTCCTCAAGTAGCTTAGAAGCTTCTTTTGCGTCGACACATCTTAGCAATCCCAAATCAGGAGTTCTCCTGTACAAATTTCCTCCGTTATGGATGAAGTGATTGGACAATCTTCGAAGTGTGCGTTTCTGAGTGTGGTTTGCATGCTCCAGGTATTCTCCTTTCGCCAAATACTCTTTGATGTCGTGGAACCAAGGTTTTCCATCTGTTTCTTCGTCAACATGGGCATAATAAGCCGGTTGATTACGGACTTTTACTGGGATGGGATCAATGAAATTCTTGTCCGGATGCTGTATCATAGATGACAAGGTGGCCAATGCATCAGCAAACTCATTCTGAATTCTGGGTACATGCCGAAACTCTATCGGCAAACTCATTCTGAATCAAGGAGAATATAATCAAACATCTACAGAAACTCAGCAACATTTTGAGACATCTCAAGTATCTACAGAAACTCAAAGACAAGTGCAGCCTCAGCTTAGAAAATCATGCAGAGGAAAACATCCTCCAGTATGGATGAAAGATTTTGCATCCTTAAATATTCATCAAGATGTTCCTTACGCCTTATATAAATACATCAGCTATGACAGAATATCTTCTTAGTATCAAGCATATGTTGCAGCAACTTCCTCAATCACTGAACCTACTAGTTACTCTGAAGCTATACAGGATCCTAAGTGGATAGATGCTATGAATGAAGAAATAAAAGCACTGGAAAACAACCACACATGGGATATTGTAACACTACCAGAAGGTAAGAGACCTATTGGATGTAAGTGGATTTACAAAATCAAATATAAAGCTTCAGGTGATATTGAGAGGTTTAAAGCTAGACTAGTAGCTAAAGGATATAGTCAAACTGAAGGAATTGATTATCAAGAAACATTTTCACCAGTAGTGAAAATGGTTACAGTAAGAATTGTGTTAAGAATTGCAGCTTCAAAGAATGGTGTATACATCAAATGGATGTATACAATGCCTTTCTTCAAGGAGATCTACTTGATGAAATATATATGGAGTTACCTCAGGGATTTAGAAGCTAGGGGGAGAATAAAATATGCGGGCTTATTAAATCCCTATATGGACTTAAACAGGCTCCTAGACAGTGGAATACAAAGCTATGTGAGGCTCTTCAGAAGTTCAATTTCAAACAAAGTCAGTTTGATCATTCATTATTTATCAAAAAGACCACTGAGGGATTATTATTGTATTAGTCTATGTAGATGATCTACTAATTACAGGGGATAGTCTAGCTCTTATTGAAGAAACAAAAACATCATTACAGAATGCTTTCAAGATGAAAGATCTGGGAGAGCTGAAGTTTTTCTTGGGAATTGAATTTGCTAGATCACAGGAAGGTATTGTAATGCATCAAAGAAAATATGCTTTAGAGTTAATTTCAGAAGCTGGACTTGCTGCAGCAAAACCAG